AACGACTCTCTCTCTCTCTCTCTCTCTCTCTCTCTCTCTAATTCAGAATTAGTTGCAATTACTCTCTCTCTCTCTCAATATTTATTGGTTAATATAAGAAAACAGTCTCTCTCTTGGTTAAATTTTACAAATGTGAACAAAGTCTTTCTCTCTCTGTCGCATTCTTTCTTGTCTGATTACAATGTAAACAAACAGTGGGAATTAGTTGCAATTACTCTTTCTCAATCTTTCTTGGTTAATATAAGCAAACAGTAGGAATTAAGTTGCAATTATTGATCGAAGAACTCCTTCATATTGTTAGGAGGCTGATGTGAATGGTGTGCCTCAAGCGTCAGCTGGTACTGTAAAACAAGTGGCAGAGATTAAGCAGACAGTTGTTACTGAAACTGATGTTGGAGATGTAGAAATATCTGAACATAGAGTTTTCCTTTTAGGAGAAAACAGATGGGAAGAACCTTCCAGGCTCACTGCTAGGAGTGAAAAGCTTGGTGTGGGCAAGGGTAACAAGGCCAGTGCTTTAATCAAATGCCTAACTTGTAGAGGCGATGGCCGCTTAATGTGCACAGGTACAAATTTGAACATAGCAACAGCCAATCTTCTAATGTGGATATTCGTTTCAGTGTAAAAAATTCTACCAAAATATTAGTATGATAATTTTATGCATCCAAGTTAAGAGAGACCAATTTTATATTTAAGAAGCTCTCTTTATGTATTTTATTTTTTTGTATTCTCATTCTGGATGGTTTTATGAGGGTTTTCTCTACTGGTGGTGCAGAATGTGATGGAACAGGTGAACCTAATATTGAACCACAGGTTAGTCTCTAGCCATCTGATTTTGAGACGTTTGTTTTCCCACCTTTGATTGGAGCCTTATGTTTAATATCTTAATCTTTACTCTGAATACTCTCTCTCTCTCTCTCTCATGTTTAATGCCTTAATCTTTACTCTGAATACTCTCTCTCTCTCATCTGTTTTATTCTGTGTTGCAGTTTATGGAGTGGGTCGACGAAGGAGCGAAATGCCCTTACTGTGAAGGCCTGGGATACACAGTTTGTGACACATGTGACGGAAGGAAGCTTATCCAGCCTTGACTTTACTTTCCAATGGCCATCTTCTCAGTATCTCATTTCTTAGTCTTCATTTCTTCAATTCGCTGAGAATGCAATATTCATTTCCTTTCTAAATTGCTTGTACATTCCCATGGCATATATTGGTATTGGTTTTAAATGCTGATTTTGTACACGTTGTATTTATTTGCAAATATGGTATTAGCATTGAAGGTCTGGAGCATGTTTCCTCTTGTGGATCTTTAGATATGTAACTTTGAGTTTATCTTTTTCTTTTTTGAATCTAACTTTTAGTTTATCTATCCAAAATGTAGAAAGAAAATTAGTGGGATATTATTTATGTAGTTCTTCCATTTCTCAATGGATAGTTCCTGTGGTGGCAAAACTTTCAAAAGTTACATATATTTAAATGTGAAGGTGTCTAAAACCAAAATGGAGTAGCCACGAGTGAATTTCTAGTATACTTTCATTCTCAAAAAAAAAAAAAATGTAATATTTTATTTGACTCGTCACTATTCAAAGTCCATCAAATATTTATGATTATTCAATAATATTTGAATTTTAATATCTTTTACAAATCAAATTTATCTAAAATTTAGGTGTGTGTATCTCTAAGTATCTTACACATAAAAAAAATATAAAAAATAATTATGAAAAAATAGAATGACCAAAACACACCCTAGAATAGTCATTGGGCTAATTTTGTCATTTCATTATTTGAATTTCTTTATATTTCATTCATGATGTTGGGTTGTGGAGACCAACCCTAGTGAGGGCCACCATCTCCTTGACTCTTCTATAGGTTAATTGTGTGTGTGGAGGTACTTCAAACCATGGTCTCGGGGTATTTTGGCAATTAGTTTGTTTTTAAAAAATTTAAAGTTAAAAACTTAGTTTTGTATTATGTGGATGGTCATATGGAATAAAATTTCACCTGCAAATACATGGCAAAACCACAAAGAAAAAAGAGTCTGATCCTCTTTTTTTATCTCCAAAATGTGTGAGGGCTCAACACATCTCTCTCTGCCTCATTGCATTAGACCTGACCCCTCTCTCTCTCTCTC